TCCTTGTTCACACAGCGGCAGCAGGGAGAAATGCCGAGCAAAAGTGGGGGAAAGCTCCTTATAAAACCATCAGATCGTGTGAGAACTCACTATCATGAAAACAACTTGGGGGTAACCACACTCACGATTCAATTACCTCCCACCAGGTCCCTCCCACGACACGTGGGGATCATGCTACAATTCAAGATGAGATTTGGGTAGGGACACAGCCAAACCTTATCAGATGGGGTTTCACCAGGTTGCCCAGGCTGGTCTCAAACTCCTGGGCCCAAGTGATCCTCCTTCCTTGGCCTCCCAAAGTGTCAGGATTACAGGCATGAGCCACCATGCCTGGCCTGATTGGTTTTAATATACATTGCATTAACATGTTTTTTATCGTGACGTCTCAGGTTTTGGGGGACCCCTTAAGTTGTGCACCTGAGGTGAGTGCTTAACTCCCCCTTACCCTAGTCTCAGCCCTGTTCTTGGGAAACTGGAGTGCAGGGAGGCCCTGCTTTTTCAGCCACAGCCACAGAGCTCCTGTGTGTCTCCCCAGGTCTCCCTGCTATACATCTCCAATGGCAATTGGTACCACATCTGCGGAGGGACCCTGATAGCCAACAACTGGGTCCTGACGGCTGCCCACTGCATCAGGTAACTGCCATTCCCTGGGCACTTGGCCTGCTCACCAGCCGGTGCTCATTTCTGAGCTGGGGGCTTAAATGGCCTGAATCACGCTACATAAAGCAGCCTTGCAAATAACCACTAGCCTGGCTGAGACACAAGCTGTAGTCAATCAATGGTTCAGTGTGTTGGCCCATCAATGTCAGTACATGGCATAGATGGGGTGTCCTGTGCCAGGTACTGAGGGAGGATGAGGAGAAGGGAAGGCCTAATCTCTGCCCTCTTGGGGAAACTACATGTGGCCTCTGGATCTGGAATTGGGTTCCCTTGAACAACTTGACTTCTCAAAGCTTCAATACCATCACCTGCAGAAAGCAATGGAGTAACAGAATTTAGTGTGAATTCAATGAGTTGATTTACTAAAGGGCCTGGCACTTAGTAAGTGCCCAGTGAAAGCTAATTCTGAACTATAGACTAATTATGAAGGCCCACGAGGTTCTGCAACGTTGTTCACTTTTCCTCTTCGTTTTCTGTGACCTCTGCTCATCACAGCTGGAACTCACCAGAGCTTTTGCTGGGTCGTTGTGACTCCTTCCAGGAGTAATCCCTTCTCCCATCTAACTTATAATAAGCTCTATGAGGTGATGGGGAAACTAATAGAGACTTACAGTCAGGAGTCCTGGCTTCTGGTTCTGGTTTCTCACTAACGGTGGGACTCTGGGCCAGGTTACACCTCTCTGGGCCTCAGTTTCCCTATCTGAAAATGAAAGGTGGGAAAAATGTCCTTGAGAGCAAATGACTCCTGTTTTCTCTGTGTTCATCTCATTCCCTCCATAATCCTACAGAGTCTGTGTTATTACAACATTGATTTTATATTATACTTTAAAGTTAGTATAGTAACAATTATTATATGATCGTAGTTCTTATGTTATATACTTTAGGCTCTATTATAACTAACTGATTGTCCCGGGGAGGAAAGATCCCCAAGCCCAAGCCCCACCTAGTGGCTCATGCAGCAGCCAGTTACTTGGGTCTATCCCAACATTATCCAAAGCCAGGCCTCTGGAGGTGACCCTGTCCCTGGGCCCCCTTTCTCCCAGCGACAACAGGACCTACAGTGTGGCGCTGGGACGGCACAACCTCTACATTGCGGAGTCTGGCTCGCTGGCCGTCAGTGTCTCTAAGACTGTGGTGCATCCGGACTGGAACTCCAGCGATGTCTCCAATGGGTTCGTTTCTGTCTGGGTGCACTTGGGGGTGAGGTTGTCAGGGAACAGATGGGGGTCTCACAGAGGAAAGGGTCTCAACTCCACCACATGCCCTCTGCTTCTTCTATAGGGAGGGAGAAGAAATTCTGGCCTCTTAGATGTGGAACCAGCTCCAAAGATGTCTGGGGTGGGGATGTGACCTGGGGAGGGAGAAGCAAAGACTGCCAGAGTGACCTGGTTTGCTGCCAGTCAAGCCTGCAGGGACCCTGTCCACTGAGCGTGTATCTACTTCATCCCAAGTCCTGGGGACACAGGGACAGTGCTGTCGACCCTGTGACTGTCCCTGGAGTAGGACACAATCTCTCCTGCCTTTCTCCTTTCAACAAGACCCTCTGCATTTTCAAACATGCCCTGGGACCCTGCCACTCAGAGCAAGCTGGGGTAACGAACATGGAACGATGACAAGGTCTCAGAGCCCTCCAAAGCCCCACAGGGCAGGAAAAGTCAACCCTGTCCTCACGCTCTGCCTCTGCACTGACCCAGGTGCGACATTGCCCTGGTCAAACTGGCTAACCCCGTCTCCCTCACCGACAAGATCCAGCTGGCCTGCCTCCCTCCTGCTGATACCATTCTACCCAACAACTACCCCTGCTACGTCATGGGCTGGGGATATCTGCATAGTAAGTGGGAGCCAGGAGCCCCCAGGCCTGGGAGGGAAGGGAGGTGATGTCACCCCTGTCTGGCCAGGGCCTCTCACCTGAGACGGGATGGCATAGGCTGATGCCTGCCTGGGTTCAAATGTCAGCTCTCCCACTTCATGACTGTGACACCTTGGGCACATTACTAGGTCTCTCCATGCAGCACTTTTATCATATGTAAAATGCAAATAATTGCCTGGGCGCCATGGCTCACGCCTGTAATCCCAGCACTTTGGGAGGCCTGGCGGGCTGATCACTTGACGTCAGGAGACCAGCCTGACGGACATGGAGAAACCAGGTCTGTACTAAAAATATTTTTAAAATATCAGGGTGTGGTGGTGTGCTCCTGTAGTCCCAGGTACTCAAGAGGCTGAGGCAAGAGAATCGCTTGAACCCGGGAGGTGGAGGTTGCAGTGAGCCAAGATTTCGCTACTGCACTCCAGCCTGGCGGACAGAGCGAGACTGTGTCTCAAAAAATAAAAAGGAGGGGGCATAATAATAGCAGCTACATCACAGAGTTGGCCAGAGGATTCAAGGAGATAATCTATAGGAAGCCTGGCATGTGGGAGGTGCTGTGTGTGAGTTGTTGTCACTGTCCCTATGATGGAAAGAAAGTTACAGAGACCATCTTCTGTGTGGCCCATAGAGTTCAGAACAGCATTTTCCTCTGTGACCTGAAGCCCCTGGAGCCCTCAACGGAGCCTCCGTGCCCCATGGCAAAAGCTGTCCCCTGTGCCATTCGGTCTTGCTGCTCAGAACCTGGTTGAGGGCGGGTCTCCTTTGACATAGACTCCAGGGGTTAGAGATCCAATGACTGTAGCCACCAAGAGGAACAGAGTTCCCGCCATTCACTTGTGAAATCACCAGAGGTTTGGAAGATTCTAGGAAGAGATGAGTGATAATGACCTTATGACCATAATGAAATTATGAGTGATAATGACATTATGACATTTCTCCCTAATGACATAAACACATAAGTATAATGACATGTTTTTCCAGGGGTACATCCACATACGTACCC